ATTTATTTGTATTTGTTCTTATTACCTTGTGAAATATTAGCAATACAAGATAATAAGACCAAATAAATAAATAGTGTGTTACATTTTGGTAACAGCGTTGTTACCATCTTCAGACAAAAGTGCTGAATGCACCAGTAGAACGTTGTTAAAGAAGCATCACACATTATTTATTTGGATTAGGTATCATTACCTTGTGTTTATAATCTACTAGCCGAATGACCCGGGCAACGCCCGTGTTTTACCCGATTGAATGTTTTGATTCAAATACTATTTGTTACAATTATAAATTGGCGCCTTAAATAAATGCATATGTTAGTTAATAACTATAGCCTATGTGCTTTATCTGTCTATGTGCTGTTGGCTTTCCTAGGCGTCTCTTACTGGGAAAAAGAAAGAGAGGATTCCATTTAGTTATTAACTAATATATGCATTTAATTAAGGAACGACCCACTCCAACACAATAGTTACAAAAACCAAAAAGCGAGTGGGGGGGGGCAAAGTCAAAAACAAAGTGTCTCGCGTAGTGGCGGCGTCATCGTAGCCACGTGATCGTAGCCAACCAATAGGAGAGCGCCATTCCAAAAAAAAAGCAAACGGTGACAGAGATGATGACGCTCGTAACTGTATATAGAATAATCCGAATTGTACCTTATCATAGCAATGTTGTCTCCAATGTAAATGTCGGCACATACACATATGTGTTTCCTGTACTCTCCATGTGATGTAAATTCCCAATTTAGTGATGTTGTTTAGTGTGACAGCTCCAGGTGATGATGATGACAATCCCATGGAAGATGATGATTCTTCAGGGGAAGATGGAGATATGCAGAATGAAGAAATGGTCTTTGCCATTGATGTCTAAATACTGCCATTATTTATATAAGTCAAATCTCTGAAGTGTTTTTTTTTCATCTTACTTTATATATATATACATACAGGGATGGGGTATGTGTCTATTATTCTATATAGACTTGTGTTTTTTTTTTTTTTTTTTTTTTGTGGAAAGACTTTTTATCACATCTCATCATATCCCCATTCTCTCCTTCTTCCAAAAAAAAAAAAAAAAAAATTTTTTTTTTTTTATTATAATTCTCTTAGAATTTTTTTTTTTTTGAAATTTTAAAAGGGATTTTATCTCCATGTGAACTTTTAATTTTTCATATGTATAGAATATAATAAATGTATATATTTTTTATATTGCCTCTATATAGGTGGAGTATTTAAATATATTTAGAAATATAAAAAGGTTTTTTTTTTAATACCTTTTTTTTTTAATTAACCAAAAAAAAAAAAAGGAGACCAAAAATATGTGAATTTTTTTTTATATATATATATTAAAAAAATTATATGTTGGGTTTGTAAATTTCTTCACTTTTTTTTCTCTTTTCTTATGTTATTTTCTCTTTTCATTATCTTTCTTCTTTCTAGTACTCTATTATCCTTTACTTTTAGCCTTTTTTTAAATATATAATAAAGAGTTTTACAGTTTTTTGGTCTTTATTATTCATTTTAATACATACAAAGTATACCCTTGATAAGGCACAATTTGGATTATAGATTATAAACACAAGGTAATAACACCAAATCCAAATAAATAAATAGTGTATGACATTTCGGTAACAGCGTTGTTACCATCTTCAGACAAAAGTACTGAAACGCTGTTACCGAAACGTCACACATTCTTTATTTATTTGGATTTGGTCTTATTACCTTGTGTTTATAAAGTATACCCTTGTTAATTCAACTGCCTATAAGAATAATTATGTTAAAAAATGATGAAAATTAATAAAATAAGAAAAATGATCAGGTGTTGGTATTAAAATCAAAAAATGCATATCCTGACTACGCTCATATGAGCTTTTTAGGTGGCAGAACGCCATCTAGTGGAACATAAATCAATTAAATGTTGATTTAATCTGTTCCCTGATATTTGGCTTACCCATTTTCTTGATAAATCAAGAAAAGCCAACTATGAATTATGTACAATATTTGGATTATAATGATAAGGCACAATTTGGATCATAGATTATAAACACAAGGTAATAATAACACCTACTCACATATTCTCATACCCAGCAATGGCCGCAGCCTTGCAGAAAATTGACTTAGACCCAGAGCAGCAGCTTTACACATCCAAGATAGTGACATTGCTGCTGTGATAGAAATGAATGGAGACATCTGAGGCTCTTCATTGGACACAACAACAACAAGGTAATAAGACCAAATCCAAATAAATAAATAGTGTGTGCATCAAAATTGATATTCACTTTGGAATTCATTTTTTTCAGCTCATAGGAAGAATAACTTCTTAGGTCCATTGAAGTCTATAAAAATGATAAAGCACAATTTGGATTATAGATTATAAACACAAGATACAGAGCAGGAGGGACAAGCATCGGTTCTGTCCTTCCAAGAGAACAACAATCTTTGATTTCCAGACTTAAGTCTGGTCATCTACGAACAATGACTTTCCAGAATGGTTGCAAGGTTTTCCCACTATGTATTAAGTGTCAACCTGCAACCCTTAGTTTGATTGAGTGGAGCTAAGAAAGAAGAAGAACACAAGGTAATAAGACCAAATCCAAATAATTGACACACTATTTATTTATTTGGATTTGGTCCTTTTACCTTGTTTTTATAATCTATATTCCAAATTGTGTGTGCTTTATCATCTACTAGACAGATAAATGATTAAGCAAAAGAATATTTATTTGTTACATCAGCATCTGTGACTACAATTATTAGAATATTATCATTTCCACAGAGAAATTTGAAAAAATCTAAACCAAAATACTCAACTTGTTCATATCATGTTGTTGATTTTTCCCTATTTATTATATTATCATGTAGGACAGACAACACAAACTTCAAGATGATGCAGCAATTTGATAAGTCACAATTTGGATTATAGATTATAAACACAAGGTAATAAGACCAAATAAATAAATAGTGTGTGACATTTCGGTAACAGCGTTGTTACCATCCTCCAAGAGGAAATATAAATGATATTTATAGATATGCTTTTAATTATATCTAAAAAAAAGTAGTTTTTTTCAACTTTGATTCTAAGAATAATATTCTGTGTTTCTCAGAAAACTATCTTCTTCTTACTGTTATCTTGTTTACACACTTGATAACAGTAACTATTTAAAACATGCTGTGGTAAAATTTATCAGTCATTACTTTTGTCTGAAGATGGTAACAACGCTGTTACCGAAACATCACACACTCTTTATTTAGATTTGGTCTTATTACCTTGTGTTTATGCAGCAATTTATTTAAGGAAAGCACAAATCAATATTTGACAACCATCATGACTGAGTGAAGTAGCCTTTGTCATTAAGACTGGGAGCACTACTCAGTGGCAGGCCGACTTAGCTCCAAAATAAATGGCCACCTCTGACATGAGAAACAGAGGTCATGTGCAGCCGCTCTAACATGGAGTACAAACGCTCTTATCCTGTATCCCTGGATTAGGAGCCCTTACAGGGTACTATCAATTGGGCCCAGGTTTTTTAGTGGGCTTGTTACTGCTCCCTCTCCTCCTTTTTCATCTGAGCTTGGGACCGGCAAAGGCAGAGTTTTATATTGAGATAAGGAAGAAGAAGAAGACAAATCAATATTTTAAAAATACCAATGGCCCACGATTCTTGGAAAAGTCTAACCAACCAGGGCTCTGTCACATTTGTAAATGCAAAAGTTGAACTGCTTCTCACATGTGTAGACATGTGGTGCCCTTACAGTAAAAGCAGTCGCCAACCTCTACCCACCATAATTATAATGGCCTGTACCACATGTACTAGGGATAATAAATTTAAAAAATACCAGAGAGGCAATGAGGAAAGGTTACAGATTAGCAAAATTAATATATATAGTCACGACCGTCTTTCCTGGCCTCTGTCACGGATGAAATTTAAAAATTAAAAAAAGATGCCGAAACCCGGGATCGAACCAGGGACCTTTAGATATTCAGTCTAACGCTCTCCTAACTGAGCTATTTCGGCTTATTTTATTTATTTCTATAGAAGCTTCTATCTTTATAATTATGTATATTTTCAAAAAGTCAATTCACACCTCTTCACTGGAGACCATGGGAATACTGACTAATTCATTATGCTAACATAATTATAAATACAAGTATCAGAGTCATCAACAATTCTGTCATCGTTTGCTTTTGTGAATGGAATAAATACCCAAATAGGGCCATTTCTTATAAGCATCGGTGGTTCAGTGGTATAATGCTCGCCTGCCACGCGGGCAGCCTGGGTTCGATTCCCGGCCGATGCATTTTTGTTCTTTTTTACAATTTTTAAAACTCATTTATATTATTATCCCTATATATATAAAAGTCAGCGTATGTATGTATGTATGTTTGTCAACTATACACGTCCACAATACGTAACTAATATGATAATTGTAACAAATAGTATTTGAATAAAAACATTCAATTGTGTAAAACACAGGCGTTGCCCGGGTCATTCGGCTAGTATATATATATAACCTACATTTAAATGCTATTGATCACAGATGGAATTGGGTCCTAGACCAGGGTTAGGCAACCTGCAGCTCTTTGGATGTGAAGCTGCTTGTAGTACTCGCATAAATAAAAACTTTATCTACTATTTATTGTTACCAAGAAAAAAATGTGTGGCTCTTTAAAAACTTTGAAATTTTGTAAATTGTAATTTTTGACACTTCCGACTCAAAAGGTTTTTGACACCTGTCCTAGGACCACTTCCAGATAATCTACTCTTAAGGCTGTTTAGAAAGGATGTAGGAGAAATGAAAACGTTTTCTGAAAAAATTTTATGGTTGGGATGAGAGGATTGAAACCCATCCCTCCCTTCCCTAGGAGGATAATGTATGTGTGATCTATAAATACAAACTTCACTTTTCATGCCAAAATAGACGTCATCTATCATCTATTGACCGTCATCACAAACTAGCAGCCTCTGGTCGGTTGGTAGTATCTTATTGATGAATAAACATCAATAATATAATATAGTCTAGTGGACATGTGGCATCTGCCTGGTAAGCGGAACATTGTGGGTTCGATTCCCATCCCTGGACACTTTTATTTTTCCGTTCATCATTACTCTTCATAATTCATCCTTTCATACCTCCTCCAAAAAGGTTAGAAATAGTCGATATTTCACCTTGAAATAAAAATTTTGATTTTCGTTGAAAAGAAACTCATGTAGTGTAACTTCAAGTGTTGTTTTACAATAAACATTTTGTTTATCTTAATTGAATGACTCCTCATCACTACCCTAAAAACTGGCAGAGAAGCTGGATCATCCTCACGTCGCCCAAGCCATTAGAAGAAGCAGAATTCAAGGACTAGAACATTTTTCTATGTTGTTGTTGTTGTTGTCATGCCCAAAGAAGAGTCTCAGATGTCTCCATGCATCTCCATCACATCAGCAGCAATATCCACTATCTTGCTCTTCATTGGAAAATGGGTGCCGTTGCCACGTTAGTCACCTTGGAAACGAACCAGAATTTGGTCGAATATTCCAAGGGTCCAGGGGGGACCGTAGGGAGGTGTGGTCGGACTTCTCCCCCCCCCCCCAACATTTTTTTATAATAAAAACAAGAGAGCAGACCCAAAAGGCTTGGTGCCATTTTCAACCCTTCACAGAAGCCCTTCTGTTTTCACGGGAAAACCCGATCAGAACCCAGAGAAATGGTAAACAATTTCGATCACGTGTTGCTTGCTACAACTGCTGGAACAACTCAATGTGCTTGGCAAATGTTTATTTTTCCTCTCAGGAATAGCGTAAATATAGTTTGAAAACGTACGGGAACAAATAAAATCCTGGGATATTTTTATAAAAATGTGTGTATTCTCGCATATATTTGGTTATCACATCGCCCAAAAGGAGTATCTTTTGGAAAGATTCAAACTCGCGCCCGGAAAGAGACCACTCCTTTTCGCGGCTCTAAACAGATTTTATTTAAAATAATTAAAACTTGCAATGTGTTTATACAAATAAAACACATAAAAAACAAAAAGGATTCAAATTTAAAACTTAAAATGTTCAGAGGGAGGTAAAAAAAAATGATTAAAAAGGACTATGCCACACTATCCCCCCCTACTTGCCCCAGTGTTGCTGAACTCACCCCCAAAGCTATCATCACTCTTCTCTCTGAGGTAGAAAAATATAAAAAATTATATAT